CAACAGGGGAAGACTGAAGCAAGCGGTGCCAGACAGAACTGGAGTTTCTGGAGAATAAAAGCTGGAAGCGTGCCCCCGAAAATCCCCCGGCTGGTCAGCGGTCTGACTTGCACGGACCGGTGGCCTTGGCCAGGAGCGGTCCTGCGGGAAGCGCCTTTGCCCAGGCTGTAATTTTAATTTCCATTGGATGCTTGGCAAAGCCCCCCTGGGTGAGCCCCAGTGCCTGGCATGAGCGGAGCGGGCTTCCAGGGAGGTACTCACCTGGTCAGCGTCAGGAGCCATCCTAACTGAGGCCTCGGTGAGTGCTTTTTGTGTGACTGGCCGGTGAAGCTGTCTGTGGGAATGACCTGGCTATTGCTCAGTGTAGTCCTAATTAAGGTGTCTTTTACTCCGTGTTCCCAGGCTCCCTCTTTTCCTTCGGTCGCCGTGGGTGTGCCGGACGCCTCTGGCAGGGCTAACCCTGTGGCTTTTCTGTCCAACGTGCTGTGCTGTGCTGTGTGTGCCTGCAGGTAAGAAAAGCTGGGAGTGCAGTCCTTCTGCTTTGCTTGCTGTGTCTCTTGGGTAGTGATTTTGGAGGGGAATCCCAGAGCGATTTGGTTTGAAGGGGACCTTCAAAGGCCAGCCTGCCTTCCGTGGGCAGGGACACCTTCCGCTCTCATCCCCGGCTGAATGCTCCCAGTCCCGTCCAGCCTGGCCTGGAACACTTGCAGGGATGGGGCAGGCTCAGCTTCCCTGTGCAGTGTGCTCTAATATCTCTCCACTGTCATCAGGAAAAATTTTGTCAGCGTGTTTTGTTCAACGATGGTAAGCAGGACCCGGGTGAAAATTGCATTCTCTGAGGTGCAGAGGGAAATAATTATCCTTTGAAGACAAATGTAATTCAGTTTTGCACGAGTCTTGTCTGCCTTATGTTTGAATTGCTTTCTATTCTAGGCAGTTGTTTTAAATTAAACTTTTATTTTGTGTCTCCCCCCCAGTATCGTGTCCAAGACAAAGCTACCTTTCCTCGTGGGCATGGACCGGCCGGGCTTTGGCAGTCTGGCCCCTCGAAAGCCTTAAGTGACCTCTTCCAACAGGGGAAGACTGAAGCAAGCGGTGCCAGACAGAACTGGAGTTTCTGGAGAATAAAAGCTGGAAGCGTGCCCCCGAAAAGCCCCCCGGCTGGTCAGCGGTCTGACTTGCACGGACCGGTGGCCTCGGCCAGGAGCGGTCCTGCGGGAAGCGCCTTTGCCCAGGCTGTAATTTTAATTTCCATTGGCTGCTTGGCAAAGCCCCCCTGGGTGAGCCCCAGTGCCTGGCAGGAGCGGAGCGGGCTTCCAGGGAGGTATTCACCTGGTCAGCGGCAGGAGCCATCCTACCTGAGGCCTCGGTGAGTGCTTTTTGTGTGACTGGCCGGTGAAGCTGTCTGTGGGAATGACCCGGCTATTGCTCGGTGTGGTCCTAATTAAGGTGTCTTTTACTCCGTGTTCCCAGGCTCCCTCCTTCCCTTCGGTCGCCGTGGGTGTGCCGGACGCCTCTGGCAGGACTAACCCTGTGGCTTTTCTGTCCAACGTGCTGTGCTGTGTGTGCCTGCAGGTAAGAAAAGCGGGGAGTGCAGTCCCTCTGCTTTGCTTGCTGTGTCTCTTGGGTAGTGATTTTGGAGGGGAATCCCAGAGCGATTTGGTTTGAGGGGGACCTTCAAAGGCCAGCCTGTCTTCCGTGGGCAGGGACACCTTCCACTGTCCCCGGTTGCTCCCAGTCCCGTCCAGCCTGGCCTGGAACACTTGCAGGGATGGGGCAGGCTCAGCTTCCCTGTGCAGTGTGCTCTAATGTCTCTCCACTGGCATCCTGAAAAATGTTGTCAGCGTGTTTTGTTGGACGCCGGTAAGCAGGACCCGGGTGAAGAGGACATTCTCTGAGGTGCTGGGAGAAGGAGGACTCGTGCGGGCACCTCCAGAGACAGCGGGAACGGGAGCGTGCTGCGGAGAAGGAAAATTCCAGGGGGTGGGTGCCGAGAAATTTGTCCTTCCCTCGCCCTGTGCTCTGCACTTAGCAATGGGTCAAGTGCAGAAGTTTCCTGGGGACCCTGGAAAAGGATGCCGGGTCTGCTAAGAAAAGTGGGGCCAAAGGAGCAGGACCTGGGTCTGCGAGCGTGGGAGAAACAAGGGCCGGGTCATCCTCTGCCTCCAGGAGGGAGGGCAGCAGGAAAGGCCACGGACTAAAGCACTGAAGTGCCGTTCCCCAGGGAGCCCCTGCCCAGCACTGAACTTGCTTCTGCACTTGCTGTCCCTTTCCCAGCGGAGCCAAAGCGTCGGGTGCGGGTGCCGGGGGGATGGAGCTGCCAAGGACAAACTGGGAGGGTGTTTGCGAAGGAAGGGGGGAGAAGGAGCTCTTGACGTGCTTTTTTTCCTTCTTCATCCCACAGAATTGCCACGAGAGGAAATACCTCAGAGGGGCTTCCCTCCGGATAAGCCCTGAATATGCCAGGAGGTTTCAGCTGGGAGGAAAGGAGCTGTGGAAGAAAAGCAGCCTAAAAATAGCCAGTGGGGATCATCAGGTTTTCCAGCCAAGAAGAACAAGGAGAGAGATGAGGGAATCGGGTTCCAATTCCTAATGATTTGGTGGGTGCAGGAATGATTTGTGTGTGTTTTCCAGTCCCTTTTGATTCCTGGGATGATTTTAAAATGATGGCTTTAGCAATCAACTAAATCGGAGATGTTGTTTCTGAGAGGAAATGGTGCCAAATAAATGCAGAGTTTTGGGTCAGTTTTGGGGATGATTTGGGTCAGTTTTTGGGGTCAGTTTGGGGTCACTGTTTGGGGTGATTTGGGTCAGTTTTGGGTCAGCTTTTGGGATGATTGGGGTCAGTTTTGGGTCAGCTTTTGGGATGATTTGGGTCAGGTTTTGGGGTCAGTTTTGGGTCAGCTTTTGGGGTGATTTGGGTCGGTTTTGGGTCAATTTTTGGGGAGCACTGGGTGTTGCTGGGGGTTGTTGAGGAGCACTGGGTGTCACTGGGGAGCACTGGGTGTTGCTGGGGGTTGTTGGGGAGCACTGGGAGAGAAAATGAAAAATAAAGAGAATAAAAAATAAACGAAATAAAAAAGGAAATATAAAAAACAAAATAAAATTAAAAAAAAAGGCAAAAAACCTAAAAAGGAAATAAAATGAAAATGAAATAAAAGAGAAAAAAAAGAAACCCCTTCTTGGGCACCCCGTTTCCTCTCCTCCCGGCCCCCGACCCGTAAATTGCGGGGTCATCACCCCTAAAATGTGAGACGGGGACCCCAAACTGCGGGTGGGGGAACCCCAGGGAGCCGAAAAAGCGGAGGGGGAGCCGCAGTAAGAAAGCGAAGCCGGGCGGTCGGGCGGCGGGGTGGGGGGGCAGGCAAAGTGGCGACGGCGGCGCGTGCGCAGTCGTTGGCAAGACGCCGGCGATCACGTGGTAAGTAAGGGCAGCCAGAAGAGGGACCGGCGACGCATGCGCAGTGGCTCTCGTGGCGGTGCAGCGCTCCCTGCCCGAGTTAAGGGCCGGTTCCGGCGGCAGGGCGGGACTCGCGGTCTCCCGTCTCTCCCGGGGTGTGTGTGGGGGGAATAACACGAAGATTCTTTGGGGCGAAAGCGCAGAAATTAGCGAGGAGGGACGCTAATTTGGGTAAACTCGGTCACCGGAAGTAGAGAGCGACCGGAAGTCCTCCAAAGCCCCGGCCCGGCAGTCCGCCAAGCCCACAGTAAAGATGGCGCCGCCAGGACCGGAGCGACCACACTAAAAATGGCGGCCCCGGCCCGGAAGTCCGCCAAGCCCACAGTAAAGATGGCGCCGCCAGGACCGGAACGACCACACCAAAGATGGCGGCCCCGGCCCGGAAGTCCGCCAAGCCCACAGTAAAGATGGCGCCGCCAGGACCGGAACGACCACACTAAAGATGGCGGCCCCGGCCGGGAAGTTCGCCCCGACGCCACACTCAAGATGGCGCCGCCACGACCGGAACTTAGCCGAGGCCACACTAAAGATGGCGCCGCGGCCCCCGCTCGCCCCGTTCCGCTCCGCTCCGCTCCCGCTCCCGCCCCCGCTCCCGCTCCCGCTCCCGCCGTGCCCTGGAGATGCTATCGGGGCTGCGCCGCCGCCTTCCCCCCCCCCCCGGAAGCGACCCACGGCGGCAGATCCGACGGAGATCGTCCCCGGGGTAAGCTGGGCGCGGCGGGTGGGCGCGGCCGCTCTTCTGCCTCTCCCGCGGCCATCGGGGACTGCAGGCCGGGGAAGCGACAGGCAAGTTTCCCGCCTCTGCGGAGAAACTCGCACCTGCGTGCCGCCGCAGGGCCGGGTTCGGATGTGCCCTGGCATTGCACACGCACCACACCCCCCCGCGGGGAGGGTCTGCGCTGCCTCGGGGACCCCGTCTGTGCTGCCGGGAGAGAGAAATCCTTTGGGAAGCTGGGCTGGAAACAGCAGCTCTGTGAATTGCTCAGCTTTTCCTAGGCAAGGGCAGGTTTTAGGGAAGAAAGGCCCGGACGCGCGAAAGGCGCCGCGGGTCTCGCCAAGGGGGGGTGGGGCGCGCGGCTGCAGCGCCGCGCGCGGCTGCAGTGCCGCTCCCGGCCGTGTCCGCCAGGCGGCGACTGTGAGGCAGGGCCCGGCGCTCGGGGGCGCTCTGGCAAGCGACGCTTGCCCTGGGAAAGCGGCGGGCTTTGGCCACTGCCGGCCTTCCCCCGCCGTGCCCGGGCTGGCCCAGCGCCTGGCAAAACCTCGTAGGGAAAAGGCAAGCAACACCTGCGGTGGTTCTGCCCTTTCTTTAGCCAGGGACTGGAACACGGACAAAATCAAGGGGCTCTTTGACCTGGGCAGGCTCCCAGCATTTTTCAGCCTTCCTTCGCAGGGCATTCTCACCCTCTGAAAAGCTGAAAGGCTTTAACAGCTGGAGACGCGCCTGCAGCTGTGCAAATTAATGTAGTTTATTTTAGGAAACGAAGGGGAAGTTTTCCTGTTGTGAGCCTAAATACCGAGTCTACTCTGCTTTTTCAATCAGGTGACGAAGCTTATGGAAAAAAAGACCAAAGGCCTCGAGGTGAGCACATTCTACCCAGTTCTGCTTTTCTGGGATCGGTTGGGGAAAATCACGTGAAATTCTAAAAAGCTTCTCTCCGTGTTTTCTAGTTGTTTTTTCAGCCTTGGTCTAAGTTTCATGTAGAAAAGGGCATAGAATTATTAGAACAGACCAACTAGACTTTCTCGGGAGAGATGGAAGAAAAGGCTGCTGATTGCAGTTCTGCTTTTGTCTTCCCTTCGACCGTCATTTTCTCTCCCCTGCTGTTCAAATAGGCAGCAATTAATTGCTCTGCTGAAGAGTTTGCTGTACTAAGTGTCTGTCAAATTGATGCCTTCAACTCAAGGTAGCACCTGCTCCTTAGTTACAAAAAGTTCCTCACAGGAAATTTTCAGGCGTGCCCATAAATCTCCTGGCTGTTTGTTTGGGAGAACAGGGTTTTCTCGTCTGTAACAGAATAGTCGTGGCATTTGCTATGGAATGCTGGTGGCAATCTAGTCAGAAGAGGACCCCGTGCTTCACTAATTTTGCCTTTTTGTTGTTGGGGGTGACTTCTTCCCAGGGATGTTCTTCTTGACCCCCCGGGGCAAACGGAGGTGTCAGCGTCAGGAGCCATCCTAACTGAGGCCCTGGTAGGTCAGTGCTTTTTGTGTGACTGGACGGTGAAGCTGTCTGTGGGAATGACCTGGCTATTGCTCAGTGTAGTCCTAATTAAGGTGTCTTTTACTCCGTGTTCCCAGGCTGCCTCTTTCCCTTCGGTCGCCGTGGGTGTGCCGGACGCCTCTGGCAGGACTAACCCTGTGGCTTTTATGTCCAGCGTGCTGTGCTGTGCTGTGTGTGCCTGCAGGTAAGAAAAGCTGGGAGTGCAGTCCCTCTGCTTTGATTGCTGTGTCTCTTTGGGAGTGATTTTGGAGGGGAATCCCAGAGCGATTTGGTTTGAAGGGGACCTTCAAAGGCCAGCCTGTCTTCCGTGGGCAGGGCCACCTTCCACTGTCCCCGGTTGCTCCCAGTCCCGTCCAGCCTGGCCTGGAACACTTGCAGGGATGGGGCAGGCTCAGCTTCCCTGTGCAGTGTGCTCTAATTTCTCTCCACTGGCATCCTGAAAAATGTTGTCAGCGTGTTTTGTTGGACGCCGGTAAGCAGGACCCGGGTGAAGAGGACATTCTCTGAGGTGCTGGGAGAAGGAGGACTCGTGCGGGCACCTCCAGAGACAGCGGGAACGGGAGCGTGCTGCGGAGAAGGAAAATTCCAGGGGGTGGGTGCCGAGAAATTTGTCCTTCCCTCGCCCTGTGCTCTGCACTTAGCAATGGGTCAAGTGCAGACGTTTCCTGGGGACCCTGGAAAAGGATGCCGGGTCTGCTAAGAAAAGTGGGGCCAAAGGAGCAGGACCTGGGTCTGCGAGCGTGGGAGAAACAAGGGCCGGGTCATCCTCTGCCTCCGGGAGGGAGGGCAGCAGGAAAGGCCACGGACTCAAGCACTGAAGTGCCGTTCCCCAGGGAGCCCCTGCCCAGCACTGGACTTGCTTGTGCACTTGCTGTCCCTTTCCCAGCGGAGCCGAAGCGTCGGGTGCGGGTGCCGGGGGGATGGAGCTGCCAAGGACAAACTGGGAGGGTGTATGCGAGGGAAGGGGGGAGAAGGAGCTCTTGACGTGCTTTTTTTACTTCTTCATCCCACAGAATTGCCGCGAGAGGAAATACCTCAGAGGGGCTTCCCTCCAGGTAAGCCCTGAATATGCCAGGAGGTTTCAGCCGGGAGGAAAGGAGCTGTGGAAGAAAAGCAGCCTAAAATAGCCAGCGGGGATCATCAGGTTTTCCAGCCAAGAAGCACAAGGAGAGAGATGAGGGAATCGGGTTCCAATTCCTAATGATTTGGTGGGTGCAGGAATGATTTCTGTGTGTTTTCCAGGCCCTTTTGATTCCTGGGATGATTTTAAAATGATGGCTTTAGCAATCAACTAAATCGGAGATGTTGTTTCTGAGAGGAAATGGTGCCAAATAAATGCAGAGTTTTGGGTCAGTTTTGGGGATGATTTGGGTCAGTTTTTGGGGTCAGTTTGGGGTCACTGTTTGGGGTGATTTGGGTCAGTTTTGGGTCAGCTTTTGGGATGATTGGGGTGAGTTTTGGGTCAGCTTTTGGGGATGATTTGGGTCAGGTTTTGGGGTCAGTTTTGGGTCAGCTTTTGGGGTGATTTGGGTCGGTTTTGGGTCAATTTTTGGGGAGCACTGGGTGTTCCTGGGGGTTGTTGGGGGGCACTGGGTGTTTACTGGGGAGCACTGGGTGTTGCTGGGGGTTGTTGAGGAGCACTGGGTGTTACTGGGGAGCACTGGGTGTTGCTGGGGGTTGTTGGGGAGCACTGGGTGTTACTGGGGAGCACTGGGAGAGAAAATGAAAAATAAAGAGAATAAAAAATAAACGAAATAAAAAAGGAAATATAAAAAACAAAATAAAATTTAAAAAAAAAAAAAAAAAAAAAAAAAAAAAAAAAAAAAAAAAAAAAAAAAAAAAAAAAAAAAAAAAAAAAAAAAAAAAAAGAAACCCCTTCTTGGGCACCCCGTTTCCTCTCCTCCCGGCCCCCGACCCGTAAATTGCGGGGTCATCACCCCTAAAATGTGAGACGGGGACCCCAAAATGCGGGTGGGGGCACCCCAGGGAGCCGAAAAAGCGGAGGGGGAGCCGCAGTAAGAAAGCGAAGCCGGGCGGTCGGGCGGCGGGGTGGGGGGGCAGGCAAGGTGGCGACGGCGGCGCGTGCGCAGTCGTTGGCAAGACGCCGGCGATCACGTGGTAAGTAAGGGCAGCCAGGAGCGGGACCGGCGACGCATGCGCAGTGGCTCTCGTGGCGGTGCAGCGCTCCCTGCTCGAGTTAAGGGCCGGTTCTGGCGGCAGGGCGGGACTCGCGGTCCCCCGTCTCTCCCGGGGTGTGTGTGGGGGGAATAACACGAAGATTTTTTGGGGCGAAAGCGCAGAAATTAGCGAGGAGGGCCGGTAATTTGGGTAAACTCGGTCACCGGAAGTAGAGAGCGACCGGAAGTCCTCCAAAGCCCCGGCGCGGAAGTCCGCCAAGCCCACAGTAAAGATGGCGCCGCCAGGACCGGAACGACCACACTAAAGATGGCGGCCCCGGCCCGGAAGTCCGCCAAGCCCACAGTAAAGATGGCGCCGCCAGGACCGGAACGACCACACTAAAGATGGCGGCCCCGGCCCGGACGTTCGCCCCGACGCCACACTCAAGATGGCGCCGCCACGACCGGAACTTAGCCGAGGCCACACTAAAGATGGCGGCGAGAGGCCCCCTCGCCTCAGAGAGGCGTCTATCCTGTTGCCTGACCTCCGCCGCGACCCGGACCCCGGCCCCGCGCCCGCAGCGCCGTCTCGCCGCGCCGCTTCCCGCTGTGGGGACGGGGCGGGGGGCTCGGCGGCGCCGGGCGCGGGCGGCAGGTTCGTGGGCGGCGGCAGGCACCGGCGCGGGCAGCCTCCGTCTCGGGGCCGCGCCCGCCCCCGCCCCGCTCGGTCCCGCAGTGCCCTGGAGATGCTGTCGGGGCTGCGCCGCCGCCTTCCCCCCCGGAAGCGACCCACGGCGGCAGATCCGACGGGGGGGGGGGCTCGGCCGCTCTTCTGCCTCTCCCGCGACCATCGGCGACTGCAGGCCGGGGAAGCGACAGGCAAGTTTCCCGCCTCTGCGGAGAAACTCGCACCTGCGTGCCGCCGCAGGGCCGGGTTCGGATGTGCCCTGGCATTGCACACGCACCCCACCCCCCCGCGGGGAGGGTCTGCGCTGCCTCGGGGACCCTGTCTGTGCTGCCGGGAGAGAGAAATCCTTTGGGAAGCTGGGCTGGAAACAGCAACTCTGTGAATTGCTCAGCTTTTCCTAGGCAAGGGCAGGTTTTAGGGAAGAAAGGCCCGTACGCGCGAAAGGCGCCGCGGGTCTCGCCAAGGGCGGGGGGGGGGCGCGCGGCTGCAGCGCCGCGCGCGGCTGCAGTGCCGCTCCCGGCCGTGTCCGCCAGGCGGCGACTGTGAGGCAGGGCCCGGCGCTCGGGGGCGCTCTGGCAAGCGACGCTTGCCCTGGGAAAGCGGCGGGGTTTGGCCACTGCCGGCCTTCCCCCGGAGGGCCCGGGCTGGCCCAGCGCCTGGCAAAACCTCGTAGGGAAAAGGCAAGCAACACCTGCGGTGGTTCTGCCCTTTCTTTAGCCAGGGACTGGAACACAGACAAAATCAAGGGGCTCTTTGACCTGGGCAGGCTCCGAGCATTTTTCAGCCTTCCTTAGCAGGGCATTCTCACCCTCTGAAAAGCTGAAAGGCTTTAACAGCTGGAGACGCGCCTGCAGCTGTGCAGATTAATGGAGTTTCTTTGAGGAAACGAGGGGGAGGTTTTCCTGTTGTGAGCCTAAATACCGAGTCTACTCTGCTTTTTCAATCAGGTGACGAAGCTTATGGAAAAAAAGACCAAAGGCCTCGAGGTGAGCACATTCTAACGAGTTCTGCTTTTCTGGGATCGGTTTGGGAAAATCACGTGAAATTCTAAAAAGCTTCTCTCCGTGTTTTCTAGTTGTTGTTTCAGCCTTGGTCTAAGTTTCATGTAGAAAAGGGCATAGAATTATTAGAACAGACCAACTAGACTTTCTCGGGAGAGATGGAAGAAAAGGCTGCTGATTGCAGTTCTGCTTTTCTTGTCTTCCCTTCGACCGTCATTTTCTCTCCCCTGCTGTTCAAATAGGCAGCAATTAATTGCTCTGCTGAAGAGTTTGCTGTACTACGTGTCTGTCAAATTGATGCCTTCAACTCAAGATAGCACCTGCTCCTTAGTTACAAAAAGTTCCTCACAGGAAATTTTCAGGCGTGCCCATAGATCTCCTGGCTGTTTGTTTGGGAGAACAGGGTTTTCTCGTCTGTAACAGAATAGTCGTGGCATTTGCTATGGAATGCTGGTGGCAATCTAGTCAGAAGAGGACCCCGTGCTTCACTAATTTTGCCTTTTTGTTGTTGGGGGTGACTTCTTCCCAGGGATGTTCTTCTTGACCCCCCGGGGCAAATGGAGGTATTCACCTGGTCAGCGTCAGGAGCCATCCTAACTGAGGCCTCGGTGAGTGCTTTTTGTATGACTGGACAGTGAAGCTGTGTGAATGACCTGGCTAGTGCTCGGTGTACTCCTAATTAAAGTGTCTTTTACTCCGTGTTCCCAGGCTCCCTCCTTCCCTTCGGTCGCCGTGGGTGTGCCGGACGCCTCTGGCAGGGCTAACCCTGTGGCTTTTCTGTCCAACGTGCTGTGCTGTGTGTGCCTGCAGGTAAGAAAAGCTGGGAGCGCAGTCCTTCTGCTTTGCTTGCTGTGTCTCTTGGGGAGTGATTTTGGAGGGGAATCCCAGAGCGATTTGGTTTGAAGGGGACCTTCAAAGGCCAGCCTGCCTTCCGTGGGCAGGGACACCTTCCGCTCTCATCCCCGGCTGGATGCTCCCAGTCCCGTCCAGCCTGGCCTGGAACACTTGCAGGGATGGGGCAGGCTCAGCTTCCCTGTGCAGTGTGCTCTAATACCTCTCCACTGGCATCAGGAAAAATTTTGTCAGCGTGTTTTGTTCAACGATGGTAAGCAGGACCCGGGTGAAAATGACATTCTGTTAGGTGCAGAGGGAAATAATTCTCCTTTGAAGCCAAATGGATTCAGATTTGCACGAGTCTTGTCTGCCTTATGTTTGAATTGCTTTCTATTCTAGGCAGTTGTTTTAAATTAAACTTTTATTTTGTGTCTCCCCCCCAGTATCCTGTCCAACACAAAGCTACCTTTCCTCGTGGGAATGGACCGGCCGGGCTTTGGCAGTCTGGCCCCTCGAAAGCCTTAAGTGACCTCTTCCAACAGGGGAAGACTG